CCAGCTCGGCGTCCTCCTCCTCCTCCTCCTCCTCCTCCTCCTCGGGCCGCTGGCGGGAGGGCGGGGGGCTGGCGGCCTCGCCCCGGGGGTCGCACGTGTAGTTGGCCAGGTAGTGGTCGAGTGGCAGCACCATGGGAGAGAAGTGGGTGCAGACCTGCTCCTCCCGGTTGAAGCGGAGGTAGAGTGAGTACTTGGTGGGGTCGGGGTTCTCCAGGGTCCAGGAGCAGCCGGAGGAGATGGTGGGGAAGAGGTCCTTGAGGGAGAAGGAGCCGTAGAGGACGCCGGAGGCCAGAGCGGAGCAGGCGCTGGGAGCCGGGTCGAAGCCCCGCGTGAGCCACAGGAGAGACGATATCACAGCCAGTAAGAGGGGACCAGCAGCGGTCATCCTATGGCATTTGCCCTGAGGGGAGACAGACAGACAGACAGAGGCTTAGCAAGAGGCATGGCTGCTGTGGGCTCCCTGCTGTGCCGGGGAGTGGGGAGCTGGTCTGGGGGGTCAGCACCCTGCACCAAACCCAGCCACTGTGGGGTGTGGGAGCAGCATCCCAGCTACTCCATGGCCCCACCTGGTCCACGGCCCCAGCTGCCACCTTACAGGCCAGGGACAGCCATGGGAGACCCTTGATCCATCTCCCAGGCTGTGCCAAGGAGTCCCTGGGCTGGGGACTGTGCAGCATGGGCTGGAGACTTCACCCCAAATCCACCAGAGCAGAGACCCGGCTCCCACCCCCACAGACCCCCTGCCCTAGGCTTGCCCACCAGAGCCTGCCAAGCACAACCTGGGCAAGGAGCCACCAAACAGCTTCTGCACAGACAGTGCTATAAAAGCCCTTGGAGCTATTTCTGGAGTCCCAGAGCACCACGGGGACCGGGGGTAGCTCGGGGCGATGTGCTGGGGGTGCACAGGCACCCCAACAGTGCAGTGTCCCCCCACCTGCCCTGAGAGCCGGGCACAGGGTGAGCCATCCCTGCACGAGCACGTATTTCTTGGACACCACGCTGGGTGTGCAGAGCATCGCCGGGAATAGCTTTTTAATACCTCATTAATAAAATAACGCACGCAGTGGCCTTATTAAGTGAGACCGGAGCACGGCTCTTCAGAGGCCGAGGCTGCCGCGCGCGTGTTGGCACCGCTCGGCCAGGGCAGCCTGTGCCCGGGGCAGTAGGGGCACGGGGCCAGCCCTGGGGACAGCAGGGGACATTCAGGAGGTGAGCACAGGCACGGATGTCACGGCAGAGGTTGATTCCAAAACCACCACCCAAATCCCTGCTCCCCTCCGCCCAGCCATGTGTTGGGGATGCCGAGCGCTTGGCACGGCACGGGGACGCCCTGATCCATCCTCAACCAACATCTCCCGCTCCTAAATCACCCCTGGCCGAGGCCGTGGTACCAGGGCATCCCCCAGCTCATCAGGGAGACGGAGCCCTGGCTGAGCCTGCGCTGGAGCCACGATGGGCACATCAGAGCTAAAAATATCCCAGCTCTCATGCAACAGGCTGGCACTGGCTCCTGCCGCCCCGGCAGCGCGGGGGCTCCGTGCCGGCATCCGGCCCCTGCCAGCACCACGTGGGCATGGGGAGAGAGGGGCTGGGAACGGGGCCAGGGGGAGCAGCCCAGGCTGGAGGCACCCCAGTGCAAGCAGGGAGATCTGGGGCCAAAGAAAACCCCGCTTTCCCGTGGTCACTTCCACCCCCTGAGAGACCCCAGGGAATTCAACAGGAGACCCCACGGCAGCGAACTCCAACGGCAGCAGCAGCGGGGAGCCGAGGGGCAGCCGGAGCAGGGAGCCCCATGGGCACTCCCCAGTGATGCTCCCCAAGCAGCCACCAAGTGCCCCAAAGAGTCCCAGCCCTCCACTGCTCTGGGAGAGCTGGGGAGGGGGGAGGAGGGGGAGGAGGAGGAAGAGGAAAATGAGGAGGAGGAGGTCAGGCAGGGACACGCTGCTGCTCTGCAGCGAGTTCCTGGGGCTCCCGCAGCCTGGCAGGGACACAAGATGGAGCTTGCTTCCCTCGCCTTGGAGCAGCGAGCAGGGATGCTCCGGCACCACCATCCATCCATCCATCCATCCATCCATCC